AGGTAGAAAGAAGGAGCTATGAATTCTGTGAAAAATGTTTTTTTTTTTTTACTGGTCAGATGACAGTGCATCTGGGGTGCATCAGGGGTGACAGTGCAAGGGTGAAAAGCTTCCCTGGTGTTTCTCCAAGATAGTCTAAACGAGGAACTACCTTTAAGCATCAAATCAGTAGCATCTTTGGTCCCAATGGAATGAACATGTCAGAAAGACGGTTGTGCATCAGCTAGAAGTCAAGACTGGAACAAAAAGCTTTGAAATCCCCTACTGAGTTCCTATGAGGAGATTAGGTTAAAAAAAAAAAAAAAAAAAAAAAAACACACACCGTGCATTGGGCCATGATTTGCACAGCCACAAGAGCCTATGTCCGCCCTAGGCTATTGCTGAGAGGATCCTCAGGACTGACTAACTATGATGATCTCTAAAGGCCCTTTCCGACCTTAAGGATTCTGTGATTCTGTGATTCACCCTATTAGTAACAGCACGAATAAGGTTGCTCTTGGACGTCACATGTGTGTGCCCGGCAGCGAGCCATGTGCAACATCAGGCTAGCACTGGATGGATTTGGTTGCAAACCCGCCAGCAGTGCAAAGCATGAAATATTGAAAAATCTATATAAAAGAAGAATGTTTTGGCATAATAAAACTTGCACTCTGTAGGAACTTTGTGAGCTTAAAAGCACTATCTGCAATAGGGTTTTGCTCTGCATTAGTTAATACAGCTCCCTGTTTTAAATATGCACAAATTGAGTCGGAAAGGGCAACAAAACGTCCTTAACAGCATTTTTTTTCTATTTGTTTATGGCGTATTACTCCATTCTTTCTTCTCCTTGACAGCTAAGCCATTTCTGCTTCACCTTCCACTGCTGGCCAGTTCTTTCCTCAAGTTAACACCCAGAGACACTCATTTTTCTTTCCTCCCTCTCTCTCTCTCTTCCTTGGTTTCCTTTAAATCTCAGTGACTAATCTACTGCCTTTTCTTCTTCCCAGCTCTTGGCTCTGGGCTTTCCGACTGGATCCTTGTTAACAGCTCTGTTGTTTCCCTGTATCCATACACAAAGCGCAGCTGTGTACTCCCAGGCTGAGCAGAAGCAGAAGAAATCGGAAGATGAAGTCCCCCCTGAGAGAGCCCAGCCTGTCTCTTCTTTAACGATCTGAAGCAGCTTTTTCAAAATGACTGCCTCTGTGGGCAGGCGGCTGAGCTCACCGAGATGAATTTTGGGCTCAGAGCACACAGACATGATCATTACCAAAATACATCACCAACCCATCTCCACGGCATTAGTCTATTCCTAAATCACGAGGTGTGCTCTCTCTTGCGCTCCTGACTCTCTTGGTACTAAAACTCTGCTTTTCGTCATTCTCTCACCGTACAAGACATTCTTTCCCCCCCAAATTGTAAATTACACCTGCTGGAGCTCTTACTTGTTCATTCTCTATATCTGTGGTTGTTCCCTATGTGAGATATTATTCTCACATTAAGGTATGAAATATACTGTCACTTGCTGTGAAACTTTTAAAAGAAAGATGCAATATAACTATATATAATGGTATGTTCTTCATCTTGCATCTGACAAGACATTCAAGAAACTACAGGAACATATAAAGCTGATGGAAAAGTTGCTTGCACTGCATCAGGGTAGCACAAGACAAATGAGCAGGACTTTTCCAGACATCCTATGCCTCTTTCATAACCAGAAAGCACTTATTCAAGTCATACCATATTCATATTTAATTTAATGATTCATAAACATCCCAGATTCCAGAAGCTCCTAATTAACTCATCTATTTACTGTTGTTAACAGATGCTCAGAGAGTGATTTATCATACAATACTGATCACATCAACATATAAATCCAGCCAACTGAATTGGCAGACTCTCTTGGTGAATATCTTCTGCTGCTGGTAGATGAGGCTCTTCGTCTTAAAATCAGTATTAATGCCCTGCACACTGTGGCTGAGGCATTATTGCTTTCTTCTCCCATTTCTTTGCACATGCTAAATACATTGTCGCCTACACCACTGTTATTTCCTCATTAAAAAAAAGAAGTGAGGTGCTGCCTAGGGTTCAAGGAATTTATCTACCCTGCCTGAGAGAAGAGGAAATCGATAACCTGAAGAACTTCTCACGCAAACTCCTTTTAATTTACCTCTGGTTTTCTGTAGTTCTGAAAACAATATTGGTCCTTCAGACAAGCTACAATAAAATGACCTTAAACTTCATTAGAGAAGTCACACTGGGGACCTTGTCTATAACGGCAATATGGCCAAATTGCCAGACCATTTGTTAGACTGATAAACAAGCACATGAGACTTTGCTGCTGTAGCCTTGGGCAAAACATTGAGCCCAAGACCTTATAACAGCAGAGTTAAATCCAGAGGCTCTACTGGCTGCAGCAGGGGTTTAAGCAACACCAAGGAACATTSAGAGTAATCTGCAATCTTAAATTGTGCACAGGGCTGCTAAATCTCCACCCCTTGACAGCCAGGTGTGCATACAGGGAACATATAGCAGTGCATCAGGTAACAGACACAGGCAGAGCGTGTCTGTGTGGGCAGCTCATGGGAAGCCTTGTAGAAGCCCAGGATGGTTGCAGGCCAGTCCTGGTCTCTGTACAGATTTCCTCCACTTCACTCCTTTCATTCCAGTCTTTCTCAATAGCAACACCATGATCCAGTTTGCATGGACAAAAATGCTAAGGGMACGTGTACATACACTATTTTAAATGCTTGAGTCGTGTTTAGTTGTTCTTTCTGCAGTATTTATATTCTTTTTTCTGTCTTTTTTTAAAATGCATTTTAGTTTTGTGTTGCACTTGGAATGAAAATGGCTGCTGTAAATACCATGGGTTTGTTTGCTGCTCAACTGTTGAAAAAAACTAAATAGAAATCTTATTCTTAAGTTTCTGTCTTACTATACTCTTTACTCAGAATGAGATTCTGAAGATGAACCATCTGTGAAAAAAAGTCTGCTCCAAGCTCCCTATATAGCAGCATTTCCCAAGGCTGTAAGTAGGTTTGGAGAGGAAAAGAAATATGAGCAACACTTATGGGAATGGGAAGCAAAACTACATTAACACTACATTATTCCCAAATAAATGGGAAAAGGAATAGCACAGCTTGGGAAAGGTGATATGTGTTAAATCACCAGGCTGTATTTTAGAATTTCTAGGAGTTATTAAATTTCTCTTCCGGACCCATTGTGTGTCAGCAATCCAGAGAGAACCAAGAGATGTGCATGACTGCTTTAGTTCTTTAATTAAGGCTTTCAGCTAGAGCAGAGCATCTTTCTTCGTTGCTCCAGTCTCTAGTGGTCACATCTCAAGCTACAGTTTCTCGTAAAGAAGAGTAAAAGGTCTGGTGCACTCCTAACAGCTTTGTTGGGATGAACAGTTTTGATCTGGGCTATAACAGTGGCGTTCTGTGCTACGAGCACCATATGTACCGAGACACTTGAGGGAAGACTCTAGAGACTTTCCTCTTAATGCTCGTTTAACTTTCATTACTCAAGCTGGTTTTTCAAACTGCGTGAAACAATTGCCCTTACAATTTGATAAGAAAAAAAAAGAAAATCCTCCTTATAACTGTGCATGCTCCCAGCATGCACGTACTGCAGATACTTAAGGATCTGTTCAGATAATGCACATGCAAGAAATATTTTGCAAAATATATGATTCATTCCTTTAAGGATTACTTAAAAGCATGGCTTAACCTCATGTAGGTGAAAAGAAAAAAGTATTGTTTTTAGGAATTGCATTTTGCTTAAGCAGAAATTCACCGAGTGCTGTGAAAATTGGTAAGGTATGACTGGGGACAGCATAACACATGCCTACACCCTGATACTTGTGTATTACATTAGGTACTCCTGTATTGTCATCTCACTTACTAGACCAGTACACAAAATAGAAACTACAGAAAATCAGAGACTTGGAATATTTTTTGCAGCACCTTCCTCCATTCCAATTCCACTCCGCCTTAACAGTGAAGGAAGCGCAGCTCTCACTGCTTGCCCTGTGCAGCTGTGCCCTACTGTGGCAACATTAGAGGTCAGACAGTGCTTTGATTCGGTGTGTTTCATTCTCCTTGGTTCAGGCAGTGCTTTGATTCAGTGTGTTTCATTCTTCTTGGTAAAATAATAGAGCACTAGCGCAAGACTTATCATAAAGAACCAAAGAGCAACACACATGTCTTTGGGGAAGGATTAAAGGAGGCATCCTCCTTGGAGATACTCCAGTTGGAGATGCAGATGGAACAGGCCTGCAGAGCAGTCTCCACAGTCCCTGCAGCTTTCCACAGAGAGCACCAAAAATAACTGTCATTAAGCTCTCCTAACTAACGCCAAGCAGACTGAATTTGATTGCTTTTCTAATATTTTAGAATCTTATTTGCCAGGCTTCATGAACGAAGAAAGTGAGTAGGACAAGACACTGAGTTGAGATGTTGTAAAAACACATTCCAGCAGCACAACTATCACATGTCCTAGAGCATCTCCTCACCGCACAAAACCATGAGCAATAAATAAATTGGTTTACATAGAAGCTGTAGAATAATGTAGGATRCAAAGGCCTTCCAGAGATCATCCAGTCACCCTGTAAGAAGTCACCTTTTTAAGAGCATATTTAACATAAAAGCATCTACACTTAAGATAAAATGCTCTCCTAGATAATTTCCAAAGGCTGTAGAACAGCTGTCAAAACCTGCTTTAGTAAGAACAGCAGCCTAAATTAGAAAGAAGACAAGGGTCCTACCAAAAACTTATGTCAACCCCAATTTTCTAAACACTACTGATGAACAGGTGAACCCTCTGGCTTTAATCAGAGTRCTGGAGAGAACAATGAACCGTGAAAGTTTTCAAAAATTTTGTCACAAACTCAATTAATGAATARCTGAATAAATTATAAGGGTGATTACCTGCAAGTATTGAAGATGCAACAATAAGCAGGAAGATCTCATAAAATAAGTTTAATATTAAGCAAACTAATTTCACATTACTGCATATTAACCTTTTTTTTTTTTTCAAAATTTTAACAGTGTTTTTCAAGTCCAGTACTGACTACAAAGACAAATTTACTCTTCTTCTTTCTTCTGCACTGACTGTGTGACTTCCTTTTTAACCCTATTTCGCTTTCTTTTTCTTTTCTTCTTTTCAGCAGAGGGCTCTTGGCTCTGCTGTGTTTTCTTTTTCTTCTTCAGACAGCTGAGAGGATTGGGGCCACCTGCCYTTTTACGTTTTCTTCTCTTTTCACCTTCCTGCCTTGTTAGACCTTCTTTTTCTTTAAGTTGCACAATACTTTGTTTTTGGTGCTCTGGGACAAGTTGATTTGTCTGTAACAGCTGAACAAATGCCAAAGATTTAGGAGAAGGTTTGTCTAGCACCATAGTGTTCTGAATAATAAAGAGGAGAGGAACACCAGGCTTCTTTTTCACTTTGTTTGCTAAATCCTGGTCCTGTAAAATTAAATACTTCAGTCAATATTTTGCRATTAAACAATATTTGCAATTCAAATGCACCTACTTTCAATACAAAACCATAAAGATAAATTACATTACAAAAAAAAAGATAAAGACACTTAATCTAGCAGATATCTCTGTCGGCATCTTTCAGGGCTATTTAAATTTCAACTTCTATACTTCTGATAGAAAATTAATAAAATGCTTCCTTTTTCCTTATATGTATGTTCTTTGAGGAAAAGTCCAAGTCCTTGGTATTTGTTCTAGGACTTTGCAAGTAACACCACAACATTTTCTACAAGTCATTTTAAACTCCTTGTATCGTATGTGAGAAGACAGAATGTTGCAGAATATATTGTATAAATTTCGAAGTCACAATAGCAGACCTAGGAAAATACAAAGTATCTTACTTGCACACAAATTTTACYGTGCTTTTTCGTTTGTTGCTTTCTTTTGGTGTTGCTTTCTTAAGTTAAATACTCTACTTAAAAACTTCTTGAGCAAAACAAACCAGCAAAACCAAAGTATTCCCCATTTAATAATCTGTAAGAACATCACTGACAAATGAAATGGAGCTGCATGTCCTATGATCATTTACCTGCGTAGCAATAAAGTAGTGATGAGGATTGCCTTCCTCAATCATGGAAAGTAAACAGGCCGAACCACTCACAGGATTCTTGAGGTGAGAACAGTTTCGAACTTGAAACCTTTGGGCAATTAATTTTGCACCATACAGTGCTTTCCCCAAAGATTCCAATTCTTTTAGAACACACCTGAAAAAAAAAAAAAAAGTGACTTCTAAACAAGAAAATAACTACGAAGTTTTTACAACAGTTACAGACTGTCATTATGAATCCTCATACATAAGAGGGAATGAACCATGCCCGCTTGCTCAGGTTATATGATTTGTAAAAGGCACCCAGCAATCTCACAGCAGTAACTGCTCTGATTGTTTCAGTAGAGTTTCCCTGGTGCTGACCAAGGCTGATCAGTAGTAAGTCACATTACATGGATTTTAAAATGTTTTCTATTGGTGAGAATGCTAATTCCTTACAGTTCTGTCCAAGTGTCACCTCACACATGAAAACAATAYTGTAACAAATAAAACAAAAATGCTTTAATTAGCACAAATGCATTAATCACTACAAGATAAATCCTACTTTGATGTTTGGCCTTGATTCAAATTTGCCATCAGAATCAGGAGAAAGAACAAGAAGACTGTTCATATGACTAAGAACCCGGATTTTGATCACTATGTAACATTCCTAGAAGACGATAAAATGCAACTCTAAAATCTCACTCTTTGTAGGACATGGGGCTGTGAGGTGGACACAGGATGAGGACATTAGCTCCTGATCCTAAATGCAAGAAACTCATCAGGATGAGGAGCTAAAACTCAACTCACTTAGCCTAATGCACTAAGTCACTACTAAACGTGGAAGARCCTAGGAACATACAGCCCTGAAATATCTGCAAGGCCACAGTATTATGGTAATTCATTTAAATAAATACACTTTCCCAAAACCTCTCCGGAACTATTATTTAGTCACTAGTTTCTCTATGACAACTGCAACATAGTAAATAAAAAGGTATCCTTCCCAAAGAAGGAAGCTCAGCCTTTGGGAAAGCCTTTGTGGAGACTTCAACCTGCACTTATTGCAAAGCCCCTCAGAGGAGGGCAGCTCAGCTCAGCTCCTTGGGGGTCTCTGAGCAGAGATAGCACCAAGGGCAAAGGAGGAGAGGATTCGGGTCCCTTAAGTGCAAAAGGGCACCAACGCCACCCCCAGCCCTCATCACGAGGACCCCTCCGGGGTACTGAGGGGAGCCCGCATCCTTCTGGCGGATGACCGAAGCCCAGGGAGCTGTAATCCCCTCTGAACTGCACCCGACTCCGGGCGCAGAGTACGCCACCATTCCGCCCCCACAGGAACGGCCTGAGGCAGGAAGGGCGCGCGCACGCGCACTGCGGCGCGCCGCCGCCGGTCCCCGCCCGCGCATGCGCACCGCGCGGCCGGGCCGTACCGGGTGGTGCAGAGGTGCGTGGCGCCATCGAGGTAGCCGGGCAGCTGCTCCCGGATCTGGATCTTGTTGCGCAGCGCGGCCTGGCAGAAGGTGCCGTCGAGCAGCACCTGGAAGGGCTCGCGGAAGTGGAAGTTGTGCTTGTAGAAGCCCATGTTCTTCTTGGCGTGTTTCTGCCGCGTGATCTTCATGGCGGCGCGCGCAGGCGGAAGCTGGAGCCGCCTCAGCCCGCGCGGCGGCGGTAGCGGGCGGGGCGGGGCCGTTAACGGCCGCCAACGGCCGCCCCGGAGCGGGCCGGGCGCGATGGTGCGGCGGAAGGGTCAGGTCATAAAGATGACCAGATTATTTATTTATTTATTTATTTATATGAAATTTATTTATTAATTTATTTACTCCAAAATTAGCATCATTACTGACTTTAAATTGCTGTCCCGGAGACATGTATCTATGCTATGTGTCAGCATAGTTTCTTTAGGAAAGTATATTCGATGCTTCTTCATATTTGGCTGTGTTTGGTACACCAGCTTCTTATGTTCTACATGCACAAAATTCACTGCAGTGAAAAGTATGTTTTTAATACTTTTTTCTTTAATGACATATAAACCACATAGCAAAGAGAAACCTTTAATTTCATAGTAATATGGGGAACAGATCTCACTCAGAAAGTCACATTGCACAGAGGGAGCCCCTCTTGTTCTTGAGAAAACCTGAGCACGCTGCATGCTTGGCAGTTAGGAGCCTGAGCTCACAGTGTATAATCAGGCAAGCCAAGGGATGTGATACCTTATTGCCCTCTAAATGATAATTTGGSACATCTGTTTCCCTGTGCAGGGACAATGGGAGATCTCTTTCTGCCAGGGGCAGCTGTAATGGAAGGGAAAAAATGGGAGGTATCTGACAGCTCCATTGTAATCAGTCAGGCTGCCCCAAGCTCATTTAAGTAATACCCACCTGTCGAATTGCTCTTTTTTTGTTAGCAAACAGACACAGGGAACATTGCTTCTAAGCAGGTCCATTAGTGTAACAGAAACTCAGTTTATTGGAAGAAAATAAAAATTCTAGGAATTCAGATCAACTGTAAATGGAAAATATTTTAAAGTACTTATAGGATAAAAAGTATGAAGAAGAATAAATGTTTAAGAGTATTTGTCCTGGGATACAACTGTGCTGTTCATAGAATCTTTCTGTAAATCCTTCTTTCCCACTTTTCCCCAACGGAGGACAGAACGTTTTSTTCGTGAATGGACTTGCATGAGTTATTCTATAGCTAAGTGATATGCTGAATTCATTGTTCTTTATTAAATATCTGCCATGCAACTTACCTGTTCTCACACTGGCACGGTATCCCAGTTCCTCTGTGTAATTCCATAAAGGAATAAAAACAAAATAAAAAATCCAAGACACTCAACAAGAGTCCAAAGTAAAACACTATTAGATTATTATTTTTCCCCCCTCTTTTCCAAGGACTTTTCCTGCCAGATTAACTACCCACAGATAGGCAGTATTCCCTGTTAAGAACACTTTGCCAGCACATTTCTCCCTGGAACTGTCCACTAGAATGAGGAATCTATAATGATTCCAGCTGCTATGTTAGAACGGGCAGAACAAGCAAGTGAATGAGAGCTTGAGCTAGTCGTCATTTTGAACTACATACAAACTAAGATACAATCCAGGGCAAGGCATTAAATACCACTGTGATGAGATATTCTTTCCCCTGCTTTTCTTGCTACATTGGTAAATAGCATCATCATAGGCAAGCTGTGATGTGATAACATGGTAAGACATGCTGAGGAGAACAGCAGGCACAACAAGAGCACAGCTTAGGCCTTCTTTGGGCAGAAGACAGTGTTAATCATATGACAAACTACCTACAATACCATTCTGTCTATTGCTTTCTATTTTTGTGCAATTCTCTTCAGATTTTAAAAAATACATTCTAGCAGATGAAAAATAATGTCTGCAGTTAAGATTTTGGGACAGTTTTGTGTAAAGTTCACTGCTTTTCTTTGAAAAAATAATTTATTAATGCTATATGTCTRCTATTCAATTGATAAATCAAAACAAAACAGAACCCCCTCACACACAGCATAAGCGCAGGCAGCCGAGTCGTGTTCCTCAGGCAGCAGCGCTGCGATCCTTGGGGAAGGCCCCTGCTCTCACCTCCGGGTTAACAAGCACGTCCATGTGTTCAGATCCCTGGGACAGCAGCAGGGCATAGCCGTGACCAGGTCCTGAGTCCCTACCCTAGCGTGGAGGGTGTAACCTGGCTAGTCCAGTTTTAAATTTGCTACCAAACTACCCATACACAGAGATTAATTGCACCGGGTAAAGATAAACACGCAGGTCTTTCCAGGTGCCGGCATTTAGGCCTTTCTTATGTGTGCACGGGTTTCTGACACCTAGAGCTTTCTTGCACGCCGGTCCCTCCTGTTGCTGGTGCCCAGATCTATAGGCCTTGTGACCCACAACTTCTTCACTGCTGGCAGACTTTGCAGCACTGGCACATATGGTAGAGATCACATAGAACAAAAATATATCCTTAAGAAAATGTGTTTATATGAAAGTTGGATAAACTGTACAGCTCTTGTTTTGAGATATTAGGTATTGCAGCAGTACAATTAAATAAGATAAATTTGCTGTGACATGTGGATTACTTGAAGCTATAGCTGTTCTTTAGTTGTTCTATATCTGTTCTTTATCAAAAAAGCTTTGATGTAGGCCTAATAACAAAGATTTTTCTTAATAGCTGGCACTTGGCAGATGCTTGTAGCTTGGTTAGAAAAAGATCTAAACTCCTGATTCTCCCCAACTTGCCTTGTGTCAGAGCTTTTTAATCTAAATGTGTTGCTTTTGGGCAAATGTGCTCTCTGGTTATCTGTGATCATTCTTAACATCAGACAAGCTTAAGTATGAAACATGACCTTATTTACCAAAAAAAGAGTAAGGTTTTCAATTACAACATTTGGAAACAAAGCTACAATAAACAAACATGGGAGAATAAAACATGTTGTTGCAGTATGTCTGAAAACACCTTTTCAAATGTAATTTAGAATTTTTCAGAGGTATGTTTTGGACACAGAAGATTTAGCACCATTTAATATGCAAAAATAATATTTGTCAGAATGTTTATTATTTATGGCTGGCCCCTCCTTCCATTGCCTTAGGGATGCTTTTGCTGTAGGAAGTTTTCTCTGAACACAAATCATAGCCTTAATTATTTAGGTTTAGCTTTTATAATACTTATATTTTTTTCTATTACCCCATAGGAACACAGCATCTGAACTTAAAATAAATATGACTAAGACAACCCCTATTTTTATTTTATGACTTGGATATGAACTCAGCAGATGAGAATTTTATCTGTGATGAGAAGCCTTCAAAACCTTTCTGGCTCTACTGTTACCCTGCACCTAAATTAAAAAATTACATCTGCCTTAAGTACTCTGACTGCCACAGTCTGTTCCATGTTAAAACTTTCCACATTTAGGTCCATCCTTACTGGTGGCTTCCATGAGTAAGAAAAAGAGTACATTGGATACACAGAGTTATAAATAATTGCTTATAGCAGAGACAACTGTGAGAATGCTCTAGAGAACAAACATTTCACAGTCAACTTTGGCTTTTTTACTAGAGGTGAAAGAAAATGTAGGGCTGAAAATAATGAGTAGGATTCTTGACAGCTTCTCAAATGTTATGTCAGGCATTTTTTTTTTTCCTTCCCCCCCCTCTTTTTCTTTTTTTTTTTTTTTTTAACTTTGAGCTAAATTTACACAAATACTGAATAAAATTTGATCTCACCGAAGTGAGATGCCTGTGCAGAGGGCCCAGGGCTGCCACTTAACTTCAATTTGGGAAGCAGAAAGAACGCAGAAGACAGGAAGATATCTTGCCATGCACTAGTTATGTGATAGCTGATGTGACAGGTAGATAGTGGGGAAAAAAGGGCTGATGCTTTACAGGCTGCCTCGCGTTCTGCCTATGAAACTATCCGTTGTTTGGTTTTGTGCACAACATCCCTCCCCTCTTTATATTAGAAAGTAAATTTATGAGGCCCAGTACAGTCCTTTTGTACAATTACACTGATGTCTCACTTTGGAGATAAAATATATATATATATTTTTTTTTTCTTTTTTTTTGGAAAGCTTACCCTCATTTGTTTCCTCTTGCTCTCCTGAGAGAAGATTGTTATCTTAGACATGTGATAACCTATCTGTCATGAAGAATCAGAAAGTGCATTAGTTGATTGTGAAGATATGGGTGAACAAATTGACAACAAAAGTGAAATTACCTGGGAAGCATTTCTCAGATAAGAAATTAACTTTACAGCCAAAATTCTGATTTGTGTAGCAGAATTCAGTTCTGTTGCATGAGATACATACCTGTGGAGTCTCCTTCTCTGGAGATCTTCAAAACCCACTTGGACGCAACCCTGTGCCACATGCTCTTGGTGACCCAGCATTGCAGGGCGGTTGCTCTAGATGATCTCCAGAGGTCCCTTCCAACCTTAAGGATCCTATGATTCTATGTCTTTTCATCCACTCACTGGTTCCAGGAAGAAATCTCCCAATGAACTGGGAACAGAAAAGCAGAAACTTTATATTGTAGTGATGAATTTTATATATATATTCTCTATTCTTGTTTAATTCTCTAACTGGGTTAACATAGCAAGAGTAAGGCTCTATTTAGGAGCTCATAGTAAATTCATGCAGATAACTGCCTTATTTTTTATTTTTGTAGTTTGTTTGTTTTAGAGGCCGAAAAAAATTAACTGTTAAAATGTCTCAGTCTTTTCCATCAATTGCATTTTAGGTTAGGTAAGTTATTACTAATTCCTGTGTCCTTTCTCTTATCCCTGATATTTGTACATTGCAGGTGTTGAGGTGCTAGAGTAAAAGATTCGTTAAGAATGAAAATTGGTTAAAAACACCTGGAATTTCCAAGAGTGGCTAAGAAGAAAAGGAAACTGAAAACAGTTATTGAAAAAAAAAAACAGTTAAAATATTGAGTAGTGAAAAAGATTTTCCCTAGGGAAGAACTCGTATTACTAAAATACTTCCTTCGTGCTGAAATACCTTATTATGGCCCTGTTCAGGATAGCTCCACCACCTCCCCCCCTTTAATTTTTAACTGCAATGCTTTTATATTTAGCCAAACAAAYGCTTTTCTAAAAGTGTGCATGAAACCAAGGTTGGTGCCTGAAACCTCCA